AAGTATATTATATCGTAGCAAGGATAAGTGATATTGTGTATTTGTGAAGTATTGTCTAATTTATGTATGTGCTGATGAAGACTCTATAGCCGCAACGTCTACGTTTTGTTTCTGTTTCTTATATTGTAAAGCTCGCTGATATCCTTTCGTTCATGTTCATATCTTTCCTTGACATTTGTAAAGCACGCCTCACCTTTTGCTATAAGCATTGTCATTTATAAACATTGACATGGCAAACGGTTTTCGTGTGGTTGAATTAGCGTTTTTAAATAAATATACCCATGCATAACTCATGTGGTGAAGGATAAATGGAAGGTGTTTATCCCTTTATTAAAGTGATGGATGAGAAGACCGTACTTTGTTTCGGCAAGGAGCTAGTGCCACTTTTTAAACTATCAAGCTGCGCGCGCAACTTCTGCACACGGCCAGTCGGCTGGCCACAAACATGAAAAGGAACTGCCATAGGACAATAGAAAGTTAACTATACTTGTCATCTCCTTGTCAGATGCAATTTTTCGTTATTTGAAGCCCTACTCTGGCTCTTGCCAGGGGCTGCAATATAGACCGGACATAAATATGGCCTAATGGCTGAACGCGGTTTCTGGGACCTCTCCACGGGTGATCCTCGTCCACATGGTGGCACTTTGTGTCATCGGGTGTTTATCGCTTGTGTGATGTCCTGGTGGGGTTTTAAAAAAATAAAGAAGAAGAGAATAGACAAATGTGAATTTTCACAGTTTCTGTCCTTTCTGTTTAAATATGAAAGCAGTATCTCATCGCCTAACTAAGTATGGGTATCCTTTGATGGAAAGATAGCAGTCGATCTTATTCTTGTCGTTGTCGTGTGCAGTTTTCGTGCGGCATTCTCGGTAGAACAGTAGGGTAGCAAACGTGGCTGCTATTGATCCCTACTTAATGTGTGGATTCTGTTATATTACTGACGATCAGGTCTATGTTCTTCTCTGTGAATGGCAATCACTGTCATTTGAGCACCTATGACTGAGTGGTTTTTAATCTGGTTGTGTGTGAAGGGATACATAGATTTCTGGTTGTCTAACGCCTGTTTTCATTGTGTCCACAGGATGTGAGGTTTGTTGATTTCATGTAAAGCCGTACCCACCCCTACATATTTAACTATTCGTGACCTGGACGCGAGGTAACATTCAAATATTGATCTGTCCGATGGGAATATGGTCCTTCGTGTCTATTTACACTTTTATATGACAGAATAGAAATTTCTGTATGTTCTGAATCTCTTGAAATGTCTACATTTTCAAACTTACAGTTGGAAGTTATAGAATCCGTGTGTTATTACTCTTAATCCGATAGGACGATTCACGACCTAAGGCGTAAGAATCTTCGCACTACTTCTGTGAGAGTGACGCTAGCGTTTCCCTTTCATTCTCTGCCCGACCTTCAAGGATAACTAACAGACGTTCAGCACTTTGACTCTCAATTTTATACTTTGGGAGGGAAGCTGTTGTGTCCAGGACATTTCCTAAAGCTTGGGATGATATCTCCTTGGAAGCCAGGCAGTTAATCAACAGTCCATAAAGCCATCAGCTTGAAAGCCACCAGCTCTTCTTTACCACCAGCAGGCCACAAGACACTAAAATGGGTGCTACACCATCACCAATCCTGTGTCCAGCGGGTGATGAATGATGCCAGTGACATACCTAGTGCTTGGGAATCCTCTCAAGGAGCTGATTCGTGTATCCAAACAGGGGAGGAAAGAATGTGTGACTGTACTGTTCATATTGTTTAATACGATATCCCTGAAGATGTCTGAACCTCAGTTACATACCCGTGTATAGAAGCGCTCCAGAGAGTACCAGCCATTCCACACGACTATAAAGCAAGCAGGAGTGCAGTGAACCAGACTAATCGTTTTGTCCATTTTAGGACGAAATTTTTGGTTATTCGAAGCCCCACCCTGGCTTTTGCCAGGGGCCGCAATACAGGCAGGCTACAAATATGGCCAATTGTCTGAACGCGGTTTCTAGGACCTCTCCACGGTGATCCTCATCCACATGGTGGCACTTTGTGTCATCGGGTGTTTATCGCTTGTGTGATGTCCTGGTGGGGTAGAAAGTCAGTCAGTCAGTGAACCAGACAAGTGGGGAACATCCTATGGTTCATTGTCCACCTGATTACTGTGATGATAATGGCTGCTTCTTGGGACATACAGACAGTGCTATTCAGATATAATGTGTCTGAGGTTTCCTTTTGTAATTGATTCTATTGAATTTCTTTTGCCTGATTCATATATATATGAATTTGAATTTATTACATGTCCTTGGAATTTTTCAGTCTTGATTTAGTGTCCATCATTTACTGTTCTTAGCTGTCTTGAGTTTATGCATTAATATAGTACATCTTATTCTGTGTTAACATGACTATGATAGTAGACTATCATAGTCTGGGGGCTATTTTCTTGTAGTAGTGGGGATGCCAAGTTGCGCCTAGGAGTATATATTCTGTAGTGCCATAACTTGTGTTGCCCCAACCCTGAAATAGGTTGGATGTGTATAGTGGCCGCGGGATTCCGCCTAGACCAATACGAGCCGACATTTATAACTATTTCAGAGTGCTGTTGGTTTATTAGGAGAAATCCTTAACTAGGCACGTGACACGAAGCAGTATGTGACAGTTGATCCTGATAGAGCTGGCTTGTCTGGGTCTTACAGCAGGGTATTGCCATTACCCAGCCCACCACCAGTTAGGTACACCATTGTAATCTGTTCTGATCATCTGATCAACACTGGGGAAGGTGACATGATAAGTCACATCTTGTAGTTGTGAACTGATCAACTGACACTATCATCAGGTGCCACAACTAAAGACCTTGCCACAACAGACCGCCACCTGCAGTTGCCTAAACCTTACTTGTAAGATTGTCCGTGTTGAGGCAGGTAAGATTTTCCGTGTTGAGGCAGGTAAGATTGTCAGTGTTGAGGCAGGTAAGATTGTCCATGTTGAGGCAGGTAAGATTGTCCATGTTGAGGCAGGTAAGATTGTCCATGTTGAGGCAGGTAAGATTGTCAGTGTTGACGCAGGTAAAATTGTCCATGTTGAGGCAGGTAAGATTGTCAGTGTTGAGGCAGGTAAAATTGTCAGTGTTGAGGCAGGTAAGATTGTCAGTGTTGAGGCAGGTAAGATTGTAAGTGTTGACGCAGGTAAAATTGTCCATGTTGAGGCAGGTAAGATTGTCAGTGTTGAGGCAGGTAAGATTGTCAGTGTTGAGGCAGGTAAGATTGTCAGTGTTGAGGCAGGTAAGATTGTCCATGTTGAGGCAGGTAAGATTGTCCATGTTGAGGCAGGTAAGATTGTCAGTGTTGAGGCAGGTAAGATTGTCAGTGTTGAGGCAGGTAAGACTGTCAGTGTTGAGGCAGGTAAGTCTGTCAGTGTTGAGGCAGGTAAGACTGTCAGTGTTGAGGCAGGTAAGACTGTCAGTGTTGAGGCAGGTAAGACTGTCAGTGTTGAGGCAGGTAAGACTGTCAGTGTTGAGGCAGGTAAGATTGTCCGTGTTGAGGCAGGTAAGATTGTCAGTGTTGAGGCAGGTAAGATTGTCCGTGTTGAGGCAGGTAAGATTTTCCGTGTTGAGGCAGGTAAGATTTTCCGTGTTGAGGCAGGTAAGATTGTCAGTGTTGAGGCAGGTAAGATTGTTAGTGTTGAGGCAGGTAAGATTGTCCATGTTGAGGCAGGTAAGATTGTCAGTGTTGAGGCAGGTAAGATTGTCAGTGTTGAGGCAGGTAAGATTGTCAGTGTTGAGGCAGGTAAGATTGTCAGTGTTGAGGCAGGTAAGACTGTCAGTGTTGAGGCAGGTAAGACTGTCAGTGTTGAGGCAGGTAAGACTGTCAGTGTTGAGGCAGGTAAGATTGTCAGTGTTGAGGCAGGTAAGACTGTCAGTGTTGAGGCAGGTAAGACTGTCAGTGTTGAGGCAGGTAAGACTGTCAGTGTTGAGGCAGGTAAGACTGTCCATGTTGAGGCAGGTAAGACTGTCAGTGTTGAGGCAGGTAAGACTTGTCAGTGTTGAGGCAGGTAAGATTGTCAGTGTTGAGGCAGGTAAAACTGTCAGTGTTGAGGCAGGTAAGATTGTCAGTGTTGAGGCAGGTAAGATTGTCAGTGTTGAGGCAGGTAAGATTGTCAGTGTTGAGGCAGGTAAGACTGTCAGTGTTGAGGCAGGTAAGACTGTCAGTGTTGAGGCAGGTAAGACTGTCAGTGTTGAGGCAGGTAAGACTGTCAGTGTTGAGGCAGGTAAGATTGTCAGTGTTGAGGCAGGTAAGATTGTCAGTGTCGAGGCAGGTAAGATTGTCAGTGTTGAGGCAGGTAAGACTGTCAGTGTTGAGGCAGGTAAGACTGTCAGTGTTGAGGCAGGTAAGATTGTCAGTGTCGAGGCAGGTAAGACTGTCAGTGTTGAGGCAGGTAAGACTGTCAGTGTTGAGGCAGGTAAGATTGTCAGTGTTGAGGCAGGTAAGATTGTCAGTGTTGAGGCAGGTAAGATTGTCAGTGTTGAGGCAGGTAAGATTGTCAGTGTTGAGGCAGGTAAGATTGTCAGTGCTGAGGCAGGTAAGACTGTCAGTGTTAAGGCAGTTCACTTGGTTTTTAACACCCGTCCTGGATTTATAAACTATGACAATTTCATTGTTTTCTAAATATGTCTGTGTATATATATGTTTGTATGTGTGTATGCGTGTACGTGCATTTTGTTGTTGTTGTTGTTGTGCACTGCCCATTAGACACGATGACCACTTCATTTGATATCTGTTTGTGTGGTGCCAGTATTCGACTCTGAAGGAACCCACTGTGAAGTTCTACCTTAGGACTGGGAGGAAGAAAGACTCAAGTCTGGTCAGGAAAAGAAAAAGTAAACAGCACAAGCTGCAAAAGATAAATGAAGAATTGTAACTGCAGATAAAAACTGTCTGCAAAAAGTTCTCAACATGACAAGAGACGTGATGATGATGATGTTACAAACATCATATTGTACAGATATCTAATCACCTGCCTCCCAAAGAACCATTGTCGTCAACCACACATATAAAGCCTGTCACCATGTTTGAGATCTGCCAGTTAAAAGGAGGATGAGCGTTGCTGTTTAGGGCTGCTATAGTTATGTCCGCTGTCTGTAGGTAGAACACCTGATCTCTCATATCTTTAAACAGCTCATAGTGTATGTCAGTGAAGACTCGCCTGAGTCCGTCCCCCTGCATGTAGGTAATCTTGGATCCAAGTTCCCATGCAACATGGGCGCCCTGGGGACAGAGGTGTAAAGATTATATTAAAAACTAATGTTGTTGGATAATATTATTAGCTGCAGTCGCTTTCCTTTTAGTCTTCACTGATGGTAAACTCTGGCAGAAAGTTCTAGTTGTTCATCCGCTTCTTGAACTTGAGTTTTGTGTGCACACCTGGTTTACAAATTTGGCTTACTTATATGAGACTGTTGGCTCTTCGATTCTCAGTCTAATGCACTCCGAATTAGATGGAAACAATCATGATTAATCACCTCATAATCACCTCACTGTCTTATAGACGGCAGTACGTGTAGAAAAGATTAGTATCATTATTAATATACTAAGAGATCTACTTCCTCTTAACTTCCTCTCGCTTTTTTTAAAAATGGCTTTGAGTGTCCAGATAGAGATTAAATGTTCTGGTTCTTCTTTTAATGGCAGCCTGGAACAATGATGATCGCTATTGTAGAGTTTCTCTGATGGTAGGTTTCCATCTTGTTCTTGGTGCATCTGCTGCTCTGCTACCCTCTCCCATTAAAAAAAAAAAATGCAGCCTATGCTTTGTACGATATGGCATCGCAAAGCATCGTCTCTAAGCGGGCAAACCATTTTATTTGCTGTCTTTGTAGGTAATTTAGAACTGGTTCTGTGCTGAATTTTCCTTTTACGAGTTTATAAGAGAGATCAGTGAGGTCACAAAGGACCAAGAAATCAGGGGACCAATAATGACCTAAAAAATGACAAGGAAATCAGTTGTATCTTACTTGTATCACGACAATGACGTTTGAATTTCTCTTCAGCAGCTTCGAGAGTGATTCTTTGATAGCGACCATCATACTGATATGAGCGCTGAGATGAGCGGAGGCCGCATGAAGATAGTGGTGTATGTGGATTAGGTATCTTCCAGTGCTGGGGACCTCATCTATAACTCTGTTGGAGGCTTTTATCCAATCCAGTCCAGCCCATACTAGCTGGAGACACACGTGAACAAAGAACCAGCTATTTACGAGCACATTAACATTGTTTCAACAAGAATGAAGAAGACTGAATTATGACCTGCATATTGGGGACAGTCTACCGATTCACTGTGAAATAGCATGGGACATCTATCTATCTATCTATTTATCTGTCTAATCTATCTGTCTGTCTAATCAGTCTGTCTGTCAAATCTATCTGTCTGTCTGTCTAATCTGTCTGTCTGTCTAATCTATCTGTCTGTCTGTCTAATCTGTCTGTCTAATCTATCTGTCTGTCTGTCTAATCTATCTATCTATCTAATCTATCTATCTATCTATCTATCTATCTATATCTATCTATCTGATCTGTCTATCTATCTAATCTATCTATCTATCTATCTATCTATCTATCTATCTATCTATCTATCTGTCTATCTGTCTGTCTATCTATCTATCTATCTGTCTAATCTATCTATCTATCTATCTATCTATCTATCTATCTATCTATCTATCTATCTATCTATCTATCTATCTATCTATCTATCTATCTATCTATCTATCTATCTATCTATCTATCTATCTATCTATCTATCTATCTATCTATCTATCTATCTATCTATCTATCTATCTATCTATCTATCTATCTATCTATCTATCTATCTATCTATCTATCTATCTATCTATCTATCTATCTATCTATCTATCTATCTATCTATCTATCTATCTATCTATCTATCTATCTATCTATCTATCTATCTATCTATCTATCTATCTATCTATCATCCATCTATTACATCCATCATCCATCCTATCTATCTATCCATCTATCCATCCATCTATCCATCCATATCTATCTATCCATCCATCCTATCTATCTATCCATCCATCTATCTATCTAATCTATCTATCTATCTATCTATCTATCTATCTATCTATCTATCTATCTATCTATCTATCTATCTATCTATCTATCTATCTATCTCTATCTATCTATCTATCTATCTATCTATCTATCTATCTATCTATCTATCTATCTATCTATCTATCTATCTATCTATCTATCTATCATATCTATCTTATCTATCTATCTATCTATCTCCTATCTATCTCATCTATCTATCTATCTCTATCTATCTATCTATCTATCTATCCATCTGTCTGTATGATTGCCTGAACTTTCTATCACAAGTCTCATTTTTGCTTCCACACTTCAACCCATTATTCCCCATGCCCAGTTTTTTCACAGTATGGACACATCTCTAATTGTGTCTTTTGCCTGCACCATCCATCCCAGACTTCCACCAGTTTTATGTGCGTGTTGCCTTTGTATACAAGGCTTCATGCCGGTGTTTCTTGACTGCGGCTATTCTGAGGTATCACATCTTCAATACTTCCTTGAACTGTGTACTTGTATAGTATTGTCTATTTTATGTATGTGCTGAAGAAGGCTCCATAGTTGCAACGTTCACGTTTTGTTTGTGTTTGTTATATGGTGATGTTCGCTGATTTACTTTTCGTTCAGTTTTATATCTTTCCTTGATATTTCTTGCACTGTCGATTTTTGCAGTCTTCCAGAGCATTTGACAAAGAAGCAATAAGGCCAACCAAAGCCAGGCTAGTGACATTCGTGGGGCACAGGAACCTGAAAGCTTGGGCAGCTCTGGCACACCCAGCCCAGTGGCCAGGCATCACTGTAACCGCTGTAATTGCCTGCTTATACTTCCCATTGCTAATTAGGACTGCATTAGTTGACATTTAGTATTACTGTTTACCATTTAATACAAATACGCCACTCGGTTTACATCTCAAGCATAGCGGAAAAACTACCAGGTACTATTACTACAGTGTTAGTTTCTTTCATATACTCAGTCAACAGCAAAGCGACTAGGAGGAAAATGTGTGATACCCTCTCCAGTGTAACCCTTACAGGTTAACGCTTACGCATGTGAGCTGATCACAGTGCGCCACTGTTTGAGACTTACGCCCACCCACTCCCCCCTTTCCACATGCGTGATTTTTTTTCTTTGTAGAAAAACCCATATCTCTTTCCAAATTTGTAAGGGAGAATATCTCTCTCCCCCCCCCCCCTCCCACCATTTTTCCCATTTTTTTTACTGTGTTTTTAAGTTTGTATTTATACGTATAGTGTTGTTTCAAATATATGTTTAAATTAATTTCTTAATCTAGGTTTCTTTTTTTTTTTATGTATCTTTTACAGGACATTGCAGAAACAACCCCAGCATTGTTTGGTTTTTCTAGGTAAATTTTACATTCAGAATTTTACCACTGCTCTAAAAGGTCAGCTGTCGGTACCACTGTCGACAACAACGCACGATGTTCTGCTGCACAATCGCCCACAGATGGGATCGAACATGGGACTAAGGCATTGCGAAACGCGTTTGCAACCCCTTAACCCCAGACGCCGATTAATCAGGACGTAGTTACTATTATTGTTACCATTAATATTATTATTATTATTATTGAAAACAATCTTTTCCAGTGACACAAACACTATATTGCACAATTTACTGAAAGAAATCATATGCATTTCAATTTTATTAATTCAAAGTTTGTGCTGCTTTATACGTTGATGTATCCAACAGAAACGCACCTGACCAGATAGCAGGGAAATATGTCTAGCGATAAATTGTGCCATGTGTTTTTTGCATCCGTATCGTGTTGGTGCTGCAGATGACATTGTCCTAAAGACTTACATGTGATGTCCTGAAGGGATTCGAGTGTGGTATCCACTCTAAGGTAAAGTTCAGGTCCTTGTTGATGCATTTTAGTGGTTTATGCCAGGATGAATATTGTTTAATGATTTGTTCTTTACAGGAACTTCTTGGCGATATATCTTCATACAGTTGTCTGGCGTTTGAATCTCCCAGGAAGATTATCTGTAGATTGTACACGGTGGGGAACCCACAATAAGACTGGTTAATAAGGCGTGTGGCTGATATTGTCTTGGAAGGATGCAAGAAAGCAAACACAAGCAAGGTAATAATAATATATGAATAATAATAACAACAGTAGTAGTAACAGTTGTAATGCTGGTCATAGTGGTAGTAGTTATGCCAGTAGCAGCAGTAGTAGGGGTTTTAGTAGTAGTGGTGGTCATAGCAGTTGCTCTCACTGTTTGAGTTGTGGTTGTTGACGATGATGATGATAGTATTGTGGTGGCGGTGGTGGTGTATTCGTAGTAGCAACAACAATAATAGCAACACCATATGTCAGTACAGAAAATGGGAGGGAAAAACCCAAAGACATAATAAATAGACTAAAAATGTATAAATTACTGCATGATACATCTTATCTGCTCATCTTTTAAAATTACTGATGACTATGTTTTATATTCCAGTTTAACAGACTTTTTTTTAAAATAGACGTTGTCCACGTCACGTCACGCTTGAAAGTCTACCATTCTCTAACCAATTCTCCAGTCGCATGTGCTTTCATGGTCAATGTATCTTCACTGTCTGTTATCCTCTTTAGCGGAGTTCGGCCTCTGCCTAGTTTATTTCGGACACTGTACACTCCATCACTTTTGGCTCCCAAGCTTCAGTGACGTTTAACATAGTCAGAATAGCTTTCAGAAGAGGATGCTGTTTATAAATCAGTTTTCCTCGATGTTCAGATCCCCTAGATCATAGGAAGTCCAAGTTTTTATTTTTCTTGGTCCATTATATTTTTTAAATTTGTATCATTTCAATTAAAAAGTTCCTTCAAGGATTGAGTAAAGAGCCAATGACTCAAACTCATAAAGCTAAAATAAGATCTCAACATTTTTACTTTAACTCATTTGTAGGTGCTGTGCCATTTGTTCTTCCTTCTGATTTCTATTGCATGCAGTCCCTATATTTGTTCACTACTGAGCCTAGATATCCAGAATCGGTGACATTTTCGATTTCTTCATTGTAGATTTCTTCATTGTCGATTTTAATATGTGGCTAGTACTTACAGTGGGCATTCATTTTTTTTTTTTTTTTTTTTCTTTTTGAAATATTATGTTATTATATAAATAGTCTTCTTCTTCTTCTGCTTCTTCTTCTTCTTCTTCTTCTTCTTCTTCTTCTTCGTCTTCTTCTTCTTCGTCTTCGTCTTCTTCTTCTTCTTCTTCTTCTTCTTCTTCTTCTTCTTCTTCTTCTTCTTCTTCTTCTTCTTCTTCTTCTTCTTCTTCTCCTCCTTCTTCTTCTTCTTATTCTTCTTCTTCTTTTTCGCATTTACCGGCTGTAAACTCCGGCGAGAAGTTTTGGTTGCTTGTCCACTTTTAGACTCTAGTGCTGTTCCAGAACCTGAGTGTTGTTTGCACATCCATTTCACGTCTGGCTTTGTTTGTACGCACACTGTTTGCTTTCGTGCCTCTTAGACTGACTTTGAAGAAAGCTCTTAGTTAGTCGGCTCTTACAACATGCTTTTTGTACAGACAGTGGGTCTATTCTTGATTCTTATGGGGCCCCGGAACCCACACAGGGAATTGCAGATATCAGCCGCCTCCATATTTCTTCTTTCGTTTTGTTTTTGTTTTTTTTGTGGTGGGGGTGGGGGTCAATATCTGCTTATGGCCCTAGGCGGCGCAGTTTATCAGACGATCGGCAGCAGAGCAAGGGCGCGCTCAGTCGCTTGATATGCCGTGATGTTATACTGTCTCAAGGTGTCAGTAACTCCTTCAATCCATCTTCTTATCGGTCTTCTCCTGCCTCTTGATGTTTTCCTTTTCAGGTTGTACGCTCTTGCTGCTGGCATCGTTGGTTTCATTCTCATTAGATAGCTAAATCATTTATTTCTTTGTTTTCGCCTCTGTTCATCTCTGTTGCCAGTCCCCTCTTTCCACTTGGTGACACCAAGTGTTCGCATGTATTGTATGTCAGCGGTCTTCTTGGTCTGTACCTCTCTGTCATTTTTCATTCTCTCAATATGTCAATAATTACTTCTTTTTAGGCTTTATGTGACCTTCTGTTGATTATTGGCATCATGAGGACTAAAAGACTGAAGTGGCTGGGGCATAGTGAGCGAATGTCAAATGACAGAGAAGGACAGGCCAAGAAGTCCGAGGACAGAAAATACATGTGAAAAACTTTGTGTCACTAAGTGGAAAAAAGGGTACAGGCAACAGGGATGAATGGAGGCGGTTGATATCGGCAACAAAAAACTCAAGGGCTCCGAATGCGAAAGAAGAAGATGTAACCTTCCGACTTATTTATTTATCGTTGTCATTTGTCATTAAGCAACACTGGATTCTTATTCATCCTGTCTCCACTGTGGTTAAAAGTCTTGATGTTACAGTTCTAGGACATACTTCTTTTGACCATTTATATAAAGTAGCGTTAAGGTTACAACCTTTTCCGTGTATGGTATTTTTCTGTAACTTATTGATCTTTTACTGGTTTGTACTACCCTTATCACTTACATTATGTTGGTTCGTTGTAGTTTCCCCACTTTGATAGCTCTTTGTTTCTAAAGATTCCCTTGTTTTGTTGTTGTGCACTACCTGGATAGCACTACTTTTGTTAACAATAATTATTGAATATTTTAGTGGCTTTCCTTTTTATAGCACTACCTTGATTTTGGTTTTTTTTTTCTTCTAATAGTTTGCTACGTCGATAACACAACCATGCTTCTAGCCTTTCCCTCAACCCCCCCCCCCCCCACCTCCCCCGTTTTTCTAATAGTTTGCTACGTCGATAACACTATCATGCTTCTTTCTTTTCCTTTTTTTTAACACTACTATGCTTCTAGCCTTTCTTTTCCCTTCTAGCAGTTTGTCGATAACACTACTATAGTTCAAGCCTTTCTTTTCCCTTCTAGCAGTTTGCTGCGATAACACTACTATGCTTCTAGCCTTTCTTTTCCCTTGTAGTAGTCTGCCATCTCGATAACGCTACGTTCAGCTAACTTTGCTCAATCATACAGTGTTTCGCCTTGTTAGCACTACCTCTGCCTCCAACCTTACTTTTACTCTTTTGTGCCCCCCCCCACCCCCACCCCCACCCCCTCGTCACCCCTCCCCAGCCATGATAGCACCAAACCAGCATTTGGTACTTACGTTGATGTTCCTGAGGCAACTTTTGGTGACCCTTTCTGGACGACGGCAGAGATAGGAATGCCACAAGCCCTTGTACAGGTAACCAGTAGGTTCTGGTTGTTCCCACGTTAGTCTAGGTGGAACTGAGGAGCAGTTCTGTGATGACGTTAGTCGTGTGACATTTTCGTTA